AATGGGAAGGAGCTTGTTTAATGACAGATGGAGATGCAATCGGCAAAATTCAAAATTAGCAGAATCTACAGAAAAAATAAATAAAAATTGCAAGGAAAGAAAAATGAAAAGAATCTAAAATTTAAGAGACTTAACCCAATGCAATGGTTAGACCTGGTTTGGATCCTGATTTGAACAAAACAACTGTGCCAATAAAAATATTTATAAGAGAACTGGAGAAATTCAAAGACTGGATTTTTAGTATTAAGGAATTACTGTTAATTTTTTAAATGTAATAATGGCATTATAATAGTGTTTTTTAAATAGCCCTAAGGGCTGGCCAGTTGGCTCAGTTGGTTAGAGCATGGTATTGATAACACTGAAAGGTTTGGATCCCCTTACCAGGCAGCCACCAAAAAAAAAAAAAAAAAAAAATAGCCCTAAGGAAAATGTCCCTTTATAAAAATATTCCACTGTCTTTCTCTCCCTCTCTTAGCCCTTCTCTATGGGATGACACAGCAAGAAGGCTTTTGCCAGATGCCCGCCCCTCCATCTTGGTCTTCCCAGCCTCCAGAATTGTACATGCCAAGAAACAGGCATTTTAGAAGAAAGCAAACTGGCATCTTTTATTATCCCATGGGATGTGAATTGCACAAATGAAGCAGAAGAAATACCCCCTCTAACGTGGGGAATCAGCCACCATAATGTGAGGACACTCAAGCAGACCTGGATGAATCCAGTGTGAAGAAAAACAAGCTTTTGCTAAAAGCTAGCACCAACTTGACAGCCATGAGTGGACCACCTTGGAAGCAGGTCCTTTAGTCCTGGTTGTCTTCAGATGATTGCAGCTGTGGCCAACATCTTTACAGTAACCTCATGAGAGATCCTGAGCCAGAAACACTCAGCCAAGCTTCCCTCAAATTACTAACTACTGAAACTCTGAGATATATTTATTGTTGTTTTAAGTTAAGTTTGTGGGGTGATCTGTTAAGGAGCAATAGATAACTAATAAAGTTGTGGACCAACCCATGCTACAAAGAAAAAAAAAATAACAAATGAAAAAAGAAATGATAGAATATCACTAGTTTACAACTCCATTTGAATTAACAGATGTAGGTATTAAGTATCAAGAGCTATAATTTTCATATGGCAAAAAGCACCATAAACAAAATCAAACTGCCAAGCTGGAAGAAAATATTCACAACATATACCACAAAGGGTTAATATCCCTTATGTGTAAAAAACTCTTAAAAGTTGTGAGACAAGATTGAAAACCTAATAGAAAAATGGGACAGACAGATGAATAATTCCCCCAAAATGGCCTCGAACATAAGAAAAAATGTTAAAAATCACTCATGTTTAGAGAAATGCAAAAATGATGCTAATATACCATTGCTTATGTATCAGGCTGGCAAAAACTTAAAAATATGACAACAGGATCTGTTGGTGAGACTACGGGGAAACAGGCATTCTCAGATATTGTTGGTGGAAATGCAATCTGGTACAACCCCTCTAGAGAGGAATTTGCAATGCATAATTAAAAAGTACATATGCACTTACACTTTGACCCAGCAATCCCACTTCTAGGAATCTACCCTGAAGATACACTTCCAACAATATGAAAATACATATACACAAGTTTCTTCACTGCGGTATTGTAACTGCAAAATATTAAAAACTTATGTTCCCATACATAAGAAAATGATCGAATAAATTATGGTACATCCACATAATGGAGTATGATGCAATTGTAAAAAAATATAAGAATGAGGAAGATTTCTATGTGAACAAATGTGGAATGATTTACAGGACATACTGATTAAAAAACAAAAAAGCAAAGCCCAAAAATTATCTATAGGATACCACTCTTCATGTAAGGAGATATAAGAAAACACACATCTATCAGCTCATTTGCACAAAAGAAATATAGGAAGATAAACTAGCAACCAGAAATAATAGGTTTCTTCAGGGGATGGAAAGGGGGAATTGGAATGAGATTAATTGTATACTTTTTTGTATAGCTTTGACTCTTAGAACCAACTGAATGTTTCACATACCCCAAAAATAAATCAAACCTTGGCTCCTTTGAATCGCACTGGCCAAATAAGTTCAATGTCCCTCAATTTTGGTTGACTTGATGGGTTTTTTCATGATTTGAGGATTCATGATTAAATTGAGTTTTTTTTGTTTTTTTTTGTTTTTGAGAAAAGAACACCAAAAAAAGATGTTGTGCCCTTCTCAGGGCATCAGTGGGTATATGATGTCAGTGTCTTATTATTGGTGATGTTAGTCTTGGTCACTCGATTATGGTGTGTCTGCCAGGATTCTCCACTGTAGAGTTACTATTTTCTCCTTGGTAATTAAATATCTTTGGGGAGATATTTTAAGGCTATGCAAATATCCTGTTTCTTCACAAACTTTCACCCACTGATTTTGGCACCCATCACTGGCACCTGTCTTCAACAGTTATTGACGCTTCAAGAGTGTCGAGGTATAAAAATAAAGAAACTGAGGCACTCTGACAGATTGGGAGGATACTTAAGGAGACAAGACGACTCAATGGAATCAATGCTGGATCCTGGACTGCATCCTGAAACTGAAAAAGGACATTGGTGGAAACACTGGTGAAATTTGAATTAAGTCTATAGTTTAATGAAAAATATTGTACCAATGTTAATATCCTGGGGTTTTTTTTGGTTTTGGTGGCTGGCACAGGGATCTGAACCCTTGACCTTGCTGTTATCAGCACCATGCTCTAACCAAGTGAGCTAACCAGCTAGCCCAATATCCTGGTTTTTATCATTGTACTGTGGTTACGTGAAATGTTAACATTGCTAGAAACTGGGTGAAGCGTATACCAGAATTCTCCGAATTATTTTTGTAACATTTTTGTAAGTGTAAAATTATTTCAAAATAAAAATAAAAAATCTTTTAAAAAAATTACAAGCAATAACACATGTTCTTGGAGAAGACACATTTTAATTGTCAATTCTATACAATTCCAATAGAAAGAAACATAGTAAAATGATTTTAGTTATCTGAAAAAGAAAAGATTTGTTCACAGTTAAAGCATACAGTAAAGACAGTATTTCGAAAATCAGTAAGAGGATTAATAAAGCAGGATTATTCAATAAATGGTATGGAATTACTAAAGTCACTTGCGGGGGGAAACAAAATTAGATCCCTACTTTATCCTCACACTAAATCCCAGATGAAGTAAAGACTGAAATATAATCATAAGAGTTCTTGAAGGAAATATGAGTGAATATTTTTATAACTATGGAGGTGACAAATACTTATCTAAGCATAAGACAGCCAGAAATGATAAAAGACCAATAGTTACAAATATGTTAATAATTTTAAAATAAAATTATAGGTCAAAATACCCCATACAGTTAAAGACAAATGAAAATTTGGAAAACTACATGACTAGTTTATCACTAATACACAAAGAACCCTTTAAACAAAAAAAGACCCCAACAGACAAACTGTTAAGACAAATATATAGATAATTAACAAAAATATTACAAATAAGCCAATGTATGTTAATCTTGACTCAATTAAACAATGCAAATAAAAACAATGCAATATCGGGAGAGTGCAGTGCTGGGAGTGCAGCAGCGCTCCCGCCATGGGTTCGGATCCTATATAAGGATGGCCAGTGCGCTCACTGGCTGAGCACGGTGCGGCCGGTCACAAAAAAAAAAAAAAAACAATGCAATATTATTATGCACACTGCAGACTGACAAAGGCAAAATCCAGTGTTGCAGTGATGTGGGGAAACAGGTTCTGTCATAGTTTATAGTGTGCTATAAATTAGTACTGATTTAGAGCAACTTGCATTCATTTTGATCCTGCAATTCTATCTTTAGATAACATATCCTAAGGTGACAAACAAGTGTGTAAAGACTTACAAAAGGATAATAATTTTAAGGTTGTTTATAATAGTGAAAAATTACAAATAACCAACATGGCCAGCCAGAGTACTGGTTAAATGTTCAAGTGGCATATCCACTATGAGATAACATGTAGTCATCATAAATGTTATCGTAGCTCTATACTTACAGAAAGGTGTGCACAACATGTTGATGGGAACCACACAAATGTAAGATGTTAATAGGAGAAACTGTGTGTGGGGGTAGGGGCATGTAAACTGTACTCTGCTCAATTTTTCTGTAAACTCAAAATGTTCTAAAAACACTCTATTACAAACAGCAACAACAATACAGTAAATATGGAAAAAAGCAATTCATAAAACTAAATGAATGATTTCAATTTTATAAATAAATACCTGGAAGACTATTCACCAAAATGTTAGATAGGGGTGAGTTTTACTTCTTTTTTTCTATGTTTGAATTTTTTACCCAGCATTTTTTTATACTACAAATTTCAAGCTATGTTCATTTTAGAAAACAAAAGGCCACCAAAAACAAATATTAAGTACTAATACTTTTATTATGGCATAAAGCAGTTTTTTCAGTATTAGCTCATTTTACAGTAAAAACATTTTATGTACAAGTGTAGAGAAAGCGCTGCACAGATGGTTCCAACTTTAAAAATGGGTTGTATTTTAAAAGTCTATTCAGTTGTTTGATAGGTAAATTGGAAAATATTTTCTCTGTAGAAAATAGTAAAAATGATAACATTTCCCAGGCTAGCTCAACAAATCCATTTAAACCAAATAGTATCTGAATTATACATTTATAAATATGGTTTGAATTCTGGGATCCAAGAGAAACTTTAGTTTCATTTATTGAAACAGCCATGTTTTTCTTAAAATTAAGTTGTGTGAAGTGAAATTCCTGTTACTTTACCCTCCTACTCTTGATTTTTCTTTAGGCTAATCCACAACAAGGTTCAACTGTTCTTGGGCCGAGCCTGTGGCGCACTTGGGATAGTGCGGTGCTGGGAGCGCAGCGATGCTCCCACCGCGGGTTCGGATCCTATATAGGAATGGCCGGTGCGCTCACTGGCTGAGCGCAGTGTGGGCGACACCACACCAAGGGTTGTGATCCCCTTACCGGTCATGAAAAAAAAAAAAAAAAAAAAAAAAAAGGTTTAACTGTTCCTTCCTAAAAGACAGGTACCATATCCTTTTAATATGTTTAAATATGGTACTCATTCCTATCCAAATTGTGAATTTTTTTTTTTTATTAAAGCATGCCCAGTATTTGGGCAAAACCAGAATCTAATAAATTATAATCCACAAGGCACGAGGCACATGTGGACTGTTATCAAACAGCTTCCCTGTGGCTTGATGGGAAGCTTTATGGAACAGAACTGGTAAAATTGACAAATGGACAAAGGAATAAAAGTAAAGAGAATTCTGAGAACACAATACAAGATTGTCAGGATTCAAGGATAGAACTTAAGTTCTTATAGAAAAAGGATGTTAACTCAAGCACTAAGGCTGAGTTGGCTATCAGAGCCCCAAACAGCAAGGTGATCAAGTAAAAGGCAGTTAGATAAGAAGGAAAATTGAGAGAAACCAGGGCCTACAAATATTTTAGTTGTTCAAAGCAATAAAATGAAAACAAGACAGACCACGTATTTTTAATCTTCCTATAAATTAAGGGAGGAAGACAACACCACTCTTAAGCTTCTGTGCTACTGTGAAACGTTTTCCAGAGAAATATATGAGAACTCAGGCACAGTTATCGAGCCATGGCTTATATTAAGTTCCTCAGTTCCCTTAAAGTAACAACTTAACCTTACAGTTTGTCTTAAAAGCAAGTCCCTAAGTAGCTAAAACCTTTCCATGGAGTAGCAGTTGAATAGTAAGAAACAGATCCTATATTGTGGCTATAGGAACTAGGCCACTGAAAAACTTAATTGGATTATTCTACCTAAAAACCCCAGCTTGCCCACTAGAAGTTAACCACCAGAAACATTAATGATCCATTAAGTTTTCACCTTTAAAAGCATGCTTTACCATGCATCTTCATTTGTTCTGCTCTTATCTCTCTGGTTATGAATTTGTTTCCTTCTTGCATTTGAAGAACATTTTCAGAAATTTTTTTGACACTCTTCAGCAGTGCAAATCTGTGCCCCCTTCTCCCTTTTCCTCTTGGTAAACAATGTTAATCTTCCAGTAGGAATAAGTGCAGTGCATTATCATTTATCACCATTTATCCAACCTCCTTACTTACAGAGAAAGTATGGAATCAATTTAGACACAGGCTTTCTATTAAAATGTACCATCTGTGTAAAATTCACTGAACCACAAATCACCCTAGAAACAGAAGCTAAAAATGTACCAAGATGCACCTAAACTGTGGCTAATCTATATTGAATGTATTACATCCTCCAAATCTAGAGTATAACACTGGCATAAACTGTATTACAACCTAGCTAAGTTTGAAATCTCGCTTTAGAACACTGCTCAGTATTAATCCACAGGAAACTCATCATAAGACCACATAAGGACAGGAATGCCAATTACAGAACAAAGCCTTGACTCCCCTCCTGAGGCTCAAAGTGGTCCTCCACAGATTGTTGCATTCCCTTAGTTATTTACTTTAGGGAAGGACCCTATTAAGAAATACTCTTAAGTATACAGACAAGTCAACTTAACAAAGTAAAGGCAGATACATGCTTAATTTTATCTTGTAATCTACAGACAATGCATTAGAATAAAAATGTAATGAATAACATACCTTTTCAAAAGGAAAACCTGATAAAGAAGTAGCAATAAAGTTACAAATGATCATGATCAGATGTAATAATTTATATGAAGCTTGTCTCTCTGGAAGAGATGAGGACTGGGCAAATGGCCAAAAGAAAGCAAAATGTGCTTTTAACTTTGTATGAAAAACAATGTCCTGTTCCATGTTCCCAAACATAGTTGTTTTTGCCATATAAATACTCTACTTCTAATTACTGGCCAAATGCTTTACCAAAACTCCGCTTCTGGCCTTTGTTTTGAAATCTGTTACTTTTGTTGCCACCTCCTGATCGCTGTCCTCTGAAGCTTCTATTTCCTTCCCGTCGTCCCCTGAAGCCTCGGTTGCCTTCCCGCTGACCCCTGAAGCCTCCATATCCTTCCCGTGGTCCTTCCAGCTCTGGCTGCTCTGTGGCCACAGAGAGCTGCCAGCGTCGTGAATCATGCCATTTCTCCTGTTGAAAAAAGGTTTTGTTTTTACCTGCTTTGATTCTTATTAAATTTGATTTCAAAAGGCATGAGAAAAACATCATTTTTACCATTTATCCAAAGAAAAACTAGGTTTAAAACTTACATGCTTAAAAGGTTACTGGTCAAAAATAGTACCTATCTTCACGGCCCAAAAGCCAGTGTCACTGAAGTGTAGGAAAATAAGTTTCACTAAGAGAATTAGCCTTCATCACTACATCATTTATTCAATTCAATCGCTACAGCTGTCAAATGCAATAAAATAAATGTATCACAGAACAAACACATTTCTCATACCAGTTTTCTTTTTTTGTTTGTTTTTTGGCAACTGGCCAGTGTGGGGATCTGAATTTGTGACCTTGGGGTTACAAGGCTGCACTCTAACCAACTGAGCTAACAACCTCACAGCAATTCTGAATAAAGACGCTGAAATTTAAAATGTTTATGAGCTCATAACACCAAGATCCCTGTACCAGCCAGCCACCAAAAATAAAAATTAAATTAAAATTAAATATAATAAAATGTCTATCAAAACACCTGTATAACATATATGGGGGGAGGGGGCTGAATATTGTTCAACCCTGTAGAAAGGAAAAAAGGAAAACCAGCAGACTCAACAACAAAAACACCAAAATTTAATTCTCAATTTTAATAAGGGGACTAGAGCTATTGTTTCCTATTCTACTATTCTGTATTTTCATAATGAGCATTTTATAATTTAAGTATGTTAATTTTAAAATGCAAGAAAATGAATACCTGTATTTCTGTTACTGCTGCAGTACGGACATCAAAGCAAACACCCTAGAAATCAAAGCAAATGGTAGTTAATTCAACCAATATACATTAAATGATACACCAAAAGGCCAGGTATTATGGGGGGCAGTGTGGGGGGGGATGAATACAAGGTATTAACTTTAGACCAAGGCCAACACCCAGCAGCACAACAACAGAAAGCCAAGCAATATATAAAAATAAAACATAAATTTTAAAAAAAACTTCAAACTATTTAGAACCTCCTGACTATAGAAAATATACTGGCTAAGAATATCACACTCTGCTAATTCTCAAGTAGCTATCAGCTACATTTTACAGCAGAGGAAGCAGAGGCTTAGAGAGGCTAGGAGTATTGTCTAAGGCCCCAAAGCTATTAGGTGGAATAGGTATTTAAAGTCTGGTCTGTATGACTCTAAAACCTTTACAATACACTGTCTTCCATGAGAAAGGCACTGCTAGCTATTAAGCATGGCCTTACTAAAAGCAGAAAAATAAATGATCATCTATTGTTAATTTTCTAGTTTTTCACAATTCAGCCTCCTGTGAGAGTATTAAAAACATGATATTGTGTTTTAGAGTTCCAGTTTTAATTTCCAATATGGCAAATATCAATAGATGTAACTCATATAAACAAAAGCTTTAGGGGGTCCCCAACACTTGTTAGAATGTAAAGAGGTCATGAGACTGAAATACTTGAGAACTGCTGTGCTTATCTATGCCACTCACAGAGCACAGAACTCAGAAGAATACTAGGAAGCAAAATTTAAAATTTTGATTTTGAATTCAAGATTCTAAATAAGTTATTTAATAAGTCATCTAGGTGGAGATGAAAGGGAAGCAGGTGAATCTTCAAATTTTGGCACTGTGTGCAGAATGGTCCAGGTTGGTGGTTGTCCGTGACTGAGTGGCAACTCACGGACAGATAGGACTTCCCAGGAAAGACTAGAGTGAAAAGATGCAGCATCCCCATAGAACAAGGAGAAGCCACCGCTGTCTTCCTGTTCACATAAAGCCACAACACTGGTCACAACACTGGCGCAGCCTTACCAGCTTTCCTTTGAGAAAGACCATTCCCTTCACTTTGGAATCAATATCCTCGCCCAGTTGCTCTTTAAGTTCTTTCCAAGCATAACTAATGTTGGGCATTTCAATTGAGCACTTCAAGATCATGGTCACAAAACCCTTATGGAAGAAAGAGGAACAAAATTAAAGTCTCAAAAACAAACCTAATTAATTAACACCTGCCCTAATGATTCTAAATTATTTCTGGAAAAGTTCTTCCTAAAAGCATACACCACACACAGGCGCAAACACATGATTAGTACAAGTAAAACTTGGAAACTCTGAGTAATATGAGTGGATTGTATAAACATCAAAATCCTGGTTGTGACATTATAGTTTTCCAAAATATTAACATTGGAGGAAACTGGGCAGAGTGTACAAAAGATTTCTCTGTATTATTTCTACAATGACACGTGAATCTACAATTATCTCAATAAAATTTCAACTTAAAGTAATAAAAGCATATACTTTCTAAACTCTCTAGACATTATGGGCAAATTTATTACATGTATTTATGTGCTTATATGTTTGGGATTATTTTAGGATTAAAAAACTAAGATATAATGGGCCGGCCCAGTGGCGCACTGGATAAGTGCGCCGTTGGGAGCGAGCGAGGTGCGGGAGCAACACCGAGGGTTGCGATCCCGTTGCCGGTCCCCGGTCCGGTACGGGGGCAACACTGAGGGTTGCGATCCGTTGCCGGACACGGAAAAAGACAAAAGACAAAAGACAAAAAAAAAAAAAAAACTAAGATATAATTTACATACCATAAAATTCACCATTTTAAAGCATACAATTCAGTGGGGTTTTTTTAAAGCATATTTGCAAGGTTTGCAACCATAACCACTATTGAAATTCAAGAACATTTCACACTGCCCCCCCCCCATCTTCCACAAAAATTCCATGCCAATTAGCAGCCACCACCCTTCCTACCTCCATCCAGCCACTGGCAACCACTAATCTGTCTTCTGCCTCTATGGATCTGAATATGTGTGTGTGTTTAAACATGGAAACTGTAAAATATAGTTAATACCTTCCTATCTTCATAAGAACGTGAAAACTGGTTAGTTTAAATGGAACCCCTTCAAATCTTGCTCAAACCCCAATCATAAAGTGTCAGAAATTTGACCCAGAACTTTACCACATCTGAGTTGATCAAAGAGCGCTGGTCTACCGATGTGGCACCTGAAATATGAGCCAGTGCTGCTGCCAGGGCTTCCACAGCTCCCTTCTCCTCTATCAGCTTCTCAGCTGACTGCTTGAAGTGACTAATGGCAGTGGGAGGTACAGAATCCAAAAGCCTACAGTTTGATTGAAGAGTATATTTGTTAGAAATTATAGTAGAAGTGGACAGATTTCATTTCCAAGACAAAACCATTCAAGATAAATCAAGTTTCAAACCAAATCTTTCACATGTGTAACACATCATTTTGATTCAATGTATATAGTCATCACATTTCTATAGTAATAAATTAATTCCTTTGATTATATTTAACTCCAATTTACCAACCAACAATTTTAAAATGTACATCAGTATAGACTATAAACCATAAAACAAATAAAAGGGTACTTCAAAAAAGTTCATGGAAAAAAGAATTGAAAGACAATACAAAATCTTTCTATGAACCATTTGAAGTACCCTCATACAATGAAATGCTATGACTGCCAATAAAAGTGATGATAAATAATGCTGAATTTTTTTATACAATAAGCATGTGTTACTTTTCCCAAAATAGGTTTAAAAATGATAGGGACCTTTATGAGACTATACATTTGTTAAGGGGCCACTATTATCTTGGCAATAATGTCACATCTCAAAGTTGAAAGAGATCATCCACTAAGGATGAGCAAGGCTACATGACGCTACCATTCTAGATACATTTGTTAAGGGGCCACTATTATCTTGGCAATAATGTCACATCTCAAAGTTGAAAGAGATCATCCACTAAGGATGAGCAAGGCTACATGACGCTACCATTCTAGAGGCCAGCATCTTTGTCTCTTCTCTCCTTCCTGGCCAGCCAACCCCAAATTTCCTTAACTGGCACCTATGGAGCCCTGTCTGTAGGGCTTTTTTAAAGAAAAGCATCCCATGCTAAAATAAAACTGGAAAATGCTGAGTTAAAATTTTTTCATTTGTAGAACTTTCCGGGGCTATTAATTAATATACCAATACCCAGCATTTCCTTTGATCATGAACTCCCCCTGCCTATTATTTACACAAGTATTTCTCATATCTATAATAGTAATTGTGGAAGGCACTCTAAAAATGATGCTCAAACTCAGTGGTTCCTTAGCAGATGTAGCTCACCACTAGAAGGCACCTGGAAAACGATTTTGGTTTTCATAATGCCAATCCTATTCACCCCCAGGAATATGCTGCACAGGAATAATAGCCAAGACCCTAAATAGCTAAACATCCTTCAATTTGTAGGACAATCTCACACAATAAACAATTCTCTTGTCCCCAATGCCAGTAGCACCTCTGCTGACAAACACTATTAGTTAACCCAATCCTCGCCATCCTGATATTTATTATAACTTAAATCAACTCTCATTCTACTACATTGGGGACCAGATTAATGGAGATTTGGAATGTAATCTTTGATCCAATCTACTCAGTCACTGGATGAGAAGCACCTGCACCATATCTAAGATACCATTCCATAAAATGTCCAAGACAAACCAATCTATTAATAGTGGTTTCCCTCAGTGAACAGGAGTGGGTGGGGATGAGTAGAAATGAGAATATTTACTTTTGTAAAATTCTACTTCAGCAGACTTGAGTATTTTTATGATAAGCAGGTTATCAATTGTTAAAAATAATAAATAAAATACATTTTAAAAGGTCAAATCTCATTACCGCACAAAGACATGTATATATAGAGCAAACAGACCACATACCTGATGGCATCTTTGCTGGAAGCTTTTATTATTTCTGTTGCAGAAGGAACACCTATTCGTTTAAATTTAATTCCCTATAAGAAAACCATAGTTTAATGTACAATGGCCATCGATTGCTTCCATCGAGATTAATAGCCCTCTAATTTTTTTTATATTTACCAAGTGTATTTATAACATTAAAAAATAAACTTTTAATTTTACAATGATTTTAGATTTGTAGAAAAGTTGCAGATAGTACAGAGAGTTCCTGTACAGCAAGTACCAAGTTTCTGCTATTGTCCACACCTTACATTACTATGGTACATTTGTTACAACTAAGAAACTAACATTGCTAAATCACTATTAACTGAATCCCAGACTTTATTCCAGAGCTGTCTCTCCCTGTTTTTCATGACCTTGACAGTTTGAAGGAGTGCTGGTCAGCTTTTGTAGAATGTCCCTCAATTTGAGATTGTCTGATATTTTTCTCATGCTTGGACTGGGGTTATGGGTTTGGGGGAAGAATACCAGAGGTGAATGCCCATCTCACCACTCTTATCAGGGGCACACCTGTTGTCACCTGATCAGGTAATGTTTGCTGGTTTCTCCACTGTAAAGTCCTCACCCCTCACCACACTCCATTCTTTGCGACCAAGTCACTAAATGCAGTCCACTCAGGGGAAGGAGGAAGGTTAAGTTTCACCTTGTGGAGAGGGAAGTATCTATATAGATTATTAGAATTCTCTTGTAAGGAAAATTAGTATCTTTTCCCTTTTTATCCTTTTGACATACCCCCATCCTTTTGATTTCCAAGCACTTCCTATAACCCCCTAATCCTTGCTTAAATACTTCTGGTGCCTTCACATCATCATTATCTGAATACTGCCTTTCAAACATATGAAAATAACACCACTGTTTTCAATGCAAAGTTATTTCAAAATGGGCCTTATATCATAGGACAACATATAAAACAACAAGTATCTAACAATAAGCTTTCAGTCATGAAATAAAAGTAGTCATTTAAAGTTAATAGAAGTTAAATAAAGAAACAAAAGACTAACTGTAAAACTCAAAATCTGCTGAATGAAAGACAAGGAAATAATTTTACCGCTTTTTGCTCCACTTGTGCTAATTGATATTCTTCCTTGTGCTGATAAAAGCAGATGCAAACCCCTGTCCTTCCAGCTCTACCTGTCCGCCCAGAACGATGAATGTAGGACTCTACATCCTATTGAAGTAAAATATATGAGTGACACTAAACAAAAAGAGACAAACACCTGAGCAGCCTATGCAGAGCTCGATGAACACTCACAAGTGTGGTTATATACCCAGAGGCATGAGGAAAGAGGTCTCTTAGCATTTCAATTTCAATTAAGGACCTGTGGCAATCTTAAAAACCTCTAGAATAGTGGTCCCTATCCTGTAGGCAAATTTGCAGACAGCATTATCTACACAGTGCTTGTCCAATAGAGGCATATGTGTAATTCCAATTTTCAATTCTCTAGTAGCCACACTGGAAAGAAAAAAGTTAAATTAATTTTAATAATATATTTTAATTCAATATACCCAACTCATCACTTCAATATGCTATCTATGTAAAACAAGTTATTAATGAGGAATTTTTTATTTTTTTACGTCTTCAAAAACCAGAGTGCATAATAAAATGTTAAAAATTTTTTAAAAATCCAGTGTGTAATTTTATACTTACCTCATTTCGGACTAGCTCCATTTCAAGTGTTCAATAGCTACGTGCAGCTAGTAGGTACCATATCAAACAACACAAGTCTACAGGCTTATAGAACAATGTCTAGGTCACACGCTTACCAGGACTTTCCTTTTTAAGAATTGGTGAATTCACAGTCATCAGGTTTTTTTCTGTTATTGTAAGCAACCTTTAATCGTGAGGGATTTGCCAGTTTGGGGGAAGGTTAAAGAGTCTTCAGGTTGGAAATAATTGAACAGGCTCCTTTAGACTGACCTTTACTTATGTGAAGCACTGTCTACAACATAAACATAAACTATGCTTCAGGGTCCTCTCCAGAGGATCCCATAACCCACAAACCTAAGCAGCTCTAACCACAGAAGTTAACTACAGGCCTTTTCTCTCTTCTGTCTTCTAGTTCATGTATTTATCTATCCTACCTGCATCTCATCTAAGCCCTTCTACCCTTCTTCAAGGTCCAGTTCAAAACTGCCATACTTCCATGAAGCCTTCCAGGACTCCTCTCTAACCAGAAACCATCTTTCCTACCTCTGGCCACTGACTGCCCTTTCACTCAACTGTCAGCTCTGAGGGGAGGGTCTCATAACAGGTTCATTTTTTAAAATTACCCTTAGCATGCTAGCACTCAAAGGATAGCTGTTACTAATCGTATGCAAGTAAACAATATAACTTCCAATTTGTTTTAATACCCAGAAGATTGAAAAAAAAAAAAAATCTAAGTATAAAACACATACCTTTGGTGGAGAGCTCTGTACAACCAAATCAACCTCAGGGATGTCTAACCCACGCGCAGCGACGTTGGTTGCCACCAAAACTCCAAAATTACCATTTCTAAAACCTTTTAGGGTGATTTCCCTTTGCTTTTGTGGAATGTCTCCATGTAATGACTGGGCATCCTGTCAAATAAATAAACTGGTTTAGGAATACCAGATCCAACAATACAGGTATTTTTTCTCATCATAAATTAGGCCCGTAAGATATTCATATTTTTGGTGATCCTCCTGCTGAAAATATTGCAAAGAGGAAAACATGTCTTAAATAGACAAACCTCAAAATTATTTCCAAATCCAGTTATTAAATCAACTGTATCCAAATATACTTACTAAGGTTGAGAATATCAGACAAGAGATCAAACTTTGTCAGTGTAACATCAGGTTTGAATCCACCCTTTACTCATCTGTAAGATGAGACTGACAGATTAAGTGAGCCCTAACATATATACTCGGACCACTAGTTGAAAGAAGCCTCCTCTCATTTCTATGCTAAAATAAACTGGAAGTCACTGGATGAACGAAAAACACACCAAGAGCAAATATGCCAAGGTGAAGATTTATTAACACTTCCAGCTTGACAGGCAAAAGAGGAAGGACCAACCTGCTTTATAGACACATTCTGTGACAGCTCCTGGGCTTCTTTCTTGGTTTCACAGAAGATGATAGTACGCCCTTGATGACCACTATACACTCGGATCACATCCCCAATGACTGCTGCCCTCTGAGTCCAGTGGCACTTGATAGCCAGATGCTTGTAAAAGAGGAAGAAAAAACATCTATTTAGTGAAGGCTTGCTAGAATGTGAAATCACCTCAACATTTAATGGCCTAAAGTCTCAGTAAAGGAAGCAACTGCTCAAGCCTGATAGAGCTGTCTGCTGCCGCCATTACTCAGAGATAAATAAATCATTAAAGCAGAGAGTAACATAGTCTGTCCTCTATGCCCCTTCCCTTTCTCCAAAGAGCATCTGGCTTCTTTTATCTATTTTCTGCCTGAAAATGTAGGAAAAGAAATGCCATTTCCTAAATGCCTACAAGAAACCAAATGAGAAAAGTTTCTGTATGTTTTGCCCTTTCATCCACTTAAAAATGCAATCTGTAGTCAGTCATTATACAGGTCTGTTCCTCAGGTGAAAGTAATTCATCTGTACTGGACCCTAAGATGAAAAGAGCTTCAACACAAAGCACTACATTTTTCTACTGTTCTCTCGTGTTCAAATTCTATGTGTAATTTCTATTTACATAATTCAGATAGCTTTAGGTTCCAAATAATTCTGAAATGAAATCAAGGTGCCAGATGATTAAATTTAGAAAACACAGATATCATATATAACTCAACCAGAAATATATCTTTAGTTGGCTTTTCACATGGCTTTAATATTTATGTGGAAAAAGAGTTTGTATTTGCCAGCCTTAATACTATGAGAGAGGAGAAAATGATATACGATTTTATACCAATTTCGGCAACTAAATGAATCATTTACCTCCACAGTTATTGCTGTTTTCTGAGTCTTTTTACCAATCAGGTCCACCTGTTCATATGTAGGTTTCATGTATTTCTTAGCAACATTAAATACCCAATGAGGGCAAGTTGCAGAAAAAAGCAATGTTTGGGGATTGTCTTCAGAATCTTTGGGGGGAAAAAAAAGTCAGTATGAATAATCCAAAACAACCTACATAGTATCCCACCTCACCTAGCACTTCCAGGGTCTATCAACATTAATCAGCAACCACTTGAGGCCAAGCCAGGCATTTAAGGACACAAAAATGAAAGACAGAGGTTTCCCAATGGGCAAAGAATACTGCTGAAGTAATTTATGTAAAAGATACTTGAAACAGTAAAACAACTTTAAACTTATTTTACCTTCTGACCATCGGACTTTATCGACCACAAAGGAAATCTGTCCACTATAGCAAGACCTACCAACTGGACAGCACCTATTTCATGAAGCCCAGCAACTAACCAATATAAAATTCTAAGCAAATAACCTATAATAAACACTTGAACAGATTCTATACTTGTCTATGCTCCCTAGTGTTTCCTCAATATATTATGAATTTATTTTCTATTCATTCTGAGTTCAGTTATTTTTTGTTTGTTTGTACTTAAGACTACCATTACATTCTCATAGATTTCAAATGGCAGTTTAAGATGGTAGAACTCTTTTAGAAAGCAATTCCGCAATGTATATTGAGGAGCATGAACTATACCTTTTAACTCAATAATTCCACTTCTAGAAATCTATCCGAGAGACCCAATTCCATATATTGAGGTGTGAGGGAAGCTATTTTCATAAAAGTGACTAAGCAGAATTATTTATACTGAATAAAAATTGAAACAGGTAGATGGTGGAATCAAATCACAGCCAACCACTTCATGGGACAGTATGCTGAATTTTTATATGAACAATAAGATTATAATTAACACACGCATATATACAATAACACACAGAAAGTCAGGAAGAAATATACCAAAAGCAAAGTACATCAAGCTGGTAAAATATGGAATTGTCTTTTCTTACTTTCCCAAGTCTTCCCCATCGAAGTTATGTGATACCTCATGACTTTTTAAAAAATACTGTTTTCCTGAATAAAATAAATCCACTTCCAATTTCCCAAGGCTTCACTTATCTCTTAGAAGACTACTTAATCACTACCTTTCCTTTGGTCCCTTTTATTATCTTCTTGAATTTGGAGTTTACCTTTCTTGTATGCCACACTTAAAATGTCTTCCACTTGATCAGCAAAACCCATATCCAACATCTGGTCAACTTCATCCAGGACAACGTGCTTAAGTTTGGTGAGATCTAGCTTCCCATTCTGCAGGTGGTCTTTTATACGACCTGGTGTCCCAACCAGGATATCAATCCCATTTCGCATGCGTTCAACTATAAAAAACACCAATAAGATTTGCTGTTTTTTAAAAAAGTCCTTTTATTATTCTGAGGTACTAGTTAAACGTACTTTTATTCTAAAATATTTATTAAACAACTGCAAATACACAGTAATATGCTAAGTAATGAAGTTAAATATTTTCAAAGTGCTCCTAATCTAGTAGGAAAAACATGTAAGTGACAGTCCAGTGTATTAAGTGACATAATAGAAAAACGTTCCATTGGGGGATGATAGCACCAGGAGAGAAATGACTTCCTTGACTGGTGAAAAGTATCAAGGTTTCACAGACAAAGTAAGAATAAGAACCTCACAGAAATAAGAACTTACAGGGTAGGCAGGTATAGGGAGGAGACAGGATAGATAGGCAAGTATTCCTAGAAGGTATAGGGATATTCAGGAAAATGGAAGAGTTCAATATAACCAGGATGAGATGGTAATAATGCAGGTCTTCTCTGGGTTGCTACTGCAATCTAGGATCACACTATGCACTTTATACACATTATCCAATCCAATCCTCACAACAGCTCTACAGGGTGAGTTTAGTAACTCTATTTTATAGATGAGGCAACTAAAGCACAGAAAAATTAAACATCTTGAACTTGAACACACAACTACTCTGCAGGCAGAGTCTAGATTCAGGTCTTTCTGATGCCAACCATATGATTCTTTCTTTCCACCAAAGCTGGAGAGAAAGAATCACAAATCTTGTGTGCCAAATGCCAAGATCTTTTTAAATGCCTTTAATACCTTCCTAAATTATATATCTGCTCTACATAATAAAGCTTCATGGTCTTGAACTGGGAAATAATTAATAAAATACTGGAGGCTGGGGCTACAACATTTGGCCATTGGGCCCTAAGAAAAGAAAGCATGTCTGCAACAAGAAAAAAGCAAGATGCAAAAAGAGGAAGAGAGACCCAAAGTCCTGACATAAAAAGAATAACTTTGAATTCTGCCTTTCTAGTTCCCAGGGCCCAGCTGGACTCTGTTTTCTTGGGTTCAATAAGTTAGCTTTACAGCCTTTAGATAAATATAGATAGATAATACAAAAGTCCTAAGAACTATATATTCTCATCATCACAAGACCATGTTCTTGAAAATGGAGACCACAGTGTTAATAACACCAAGGTCTAGGGTTCACATCCCCCCTTACCAGCCAGCCACCAAAATAAATACATAAAATTTTAAGAAAAAGAAAAAAGAAAAACACCATGAACAACTGGACTAGGTAAAGAAGCCAGATGTCAAGGTCAGAAGAAATTCAATTAGGGCATCCAACAATGATGGCATTTTCCTTCCCTCACTTTTCAATTTATTGTACTTACTCTGACCTCCATAGGGAGTTCCACCATAAAAACAAGCTACTGTCAGCTTTTTTGTGATGTCACTAAAGTCTCTGCTTACTTGATTTGCTAACTCCCTTGTAGGTGCAAGAACCAGTACCTGAAAAGGAAAAATAATTGAATTCAAAGTATTGTGCAGTATTTGTTTAATTTGAAATTCACCAGAAAGTTCAACTCATCCTAACAAGTATTTTCAAAACATCTATTATGTGCTTTGCAATGTACTATGTAGGTGGAAGGATCTTAAATATAATACGGTTCCTGACAAATCTACCCATAAGAAAAGCTTGTGATCTTACCAATCAGAAGACAAGTAGGTGCCCAAATATATGGTGCTATAAGAGGGTTACATGGGGCCGGCCCGGTGGCACACTGGATAGTGCACCGCTTGGGAAGCGCGGCGGCGCTCCCGCCCGAGGGTTCGGATCCCACATACAGACCGGTTCCCGCTCACTGGCTGAGCGAGGCGCGGGAGCAACACCGAGGGTTGCAATCCCGTTGCCGGTCCCCGGTCCAGTATGGGGGCAACACTGAGGGTTGCGATCCGTTGCCGGACACGGAAAAAAGACAAAAGACAAAAAAAAAAAGGGGGTTACATGGAGCAGGCTGAAGGAATGGGGGAAAGTTTCATGGGGCTACTAAAATAGCATTCCAAGAAAAGAATAACCTGAACAAGGAATACCGAGGATGAAAACGTTAGCTAATATATTTGCGCTTTTACTATGTCATAGGCTCTATTAAATACTTTACATGTATTATTCTGATTTAATTCTCACAACCTTTTGACATAGGTATTAGAGGGTAAATAACTTGACTAAACCCAGAAGGCAAAGAGGGAAAACCTTCAGGCAGCTGGGTTCCAAAACCTACAGTCTTTTTTAACATCTACACTACAGTGAATTTGAAGTAGAACAAAGCCAGACAAATACAGCAGGGCCAATATTGTAAGGGGCTTTGAATCCTACAGCAACCTGAGTTTGATCCAATAGAACATACGATACAAAACCAGTAGAAATCTTTGAAGAGGGTAACAGCATGAAAGAAATTTAAGAACAACCTAATACACACTCATTCAAAATATATTTACTGATCATCTACTATGTCCCAGGCACTATTCTAGATGCTAGGGACCAGCAGTAGACAAATAATTAGTGAGGGGGAAGCATGGACACTAAAAGGCCAGTGAGCAAGTGAGGTTAGGCCAGAAAGACAAGTACAGCAACTCACAACCAAAGTGACAACATGGGCATCCCCAGTTATTTCAGTGAGGCTAGTTTGACAAATGCTAGCTTCTCCAGAAACAAATCCCATGGACAGCATCCTGAAAAGGGGGCTTGTCCTCTCCACCTCTCTGAGTGCCCCTCCTTCCATTCATGCTTCTCTACTGAAAATGCTTTCTCCATCTAAGCAAAAACGGTAGATACCTGACCAAAACTGTGAGCCCCAGGGACACCTAATAGTTTGAAAGGAATATGATGAGCATTAATAATACAGATAATCAAAACCATGGGACAGATTTACAATATTTAAATATACAGGGTTTGTGGCCAACAGTCTTAAAAGAATTATCCTCGTTTAACTTCAGATAAAGATCCACAGTAAATACAATGGGTGCTGTTAAGGAGAACCCAATAAAAAAACAGTACTGTATGTAAACAATTCTCAAGAGATGTTTCTTCCAGTGCTGATCTGGAGCCTCTGAGGTGTGTGTTCAAGATAGTTACCTGAGGGGCCGGCCCGGTGGCGCACTGCTATAGTGCGCCGCTTGGGAAGCGCGGTGGCGCTCCCGCCGCGGGTTCGGATCCCACATACAGACCGGCCGCTCACTGGCTGAGCGAGGGGCGGGAGCAACACCGAGGGTTGCGATCCCGTGGCCGGTCCCGGTCCGGTCCGGGCGCAACACTGAGGGCTGCGATCCGTTGCCGATCACGAAAAAAAAAAAAAAAGATAGTTACCTGAGGGGAACGACCTCTCTTCCTGTCTCGCAGTTCTCCCTGAAGTTTCTCAATTAAGGGGATGGCAAAGGAGAATGTCTTCCCAGTCCCTGTTCGTGCCTGTGCAATTAAGTCCTTCCCACTATAGACATGGTAGAACGTCTTTGCTTGTATGGGAAATAGGAAGGTCACCCCACGGCCTGCAAACAAATTAACTGTGTTATCTCACACTGCATTTCTTAAAATACCAGCCATTCTGAAGGACTGAAGCATACTCATGCTTCTGTTACTCCAGAATTAAGGAGTTCTCTCTTCTCGTCAACATCTACAAAACAGGCTCAAATGTATTCCAATGGTAAAGAATCCACTTGACTGAAAAACATCAACAAACTTTAAAGCACCAAATTATAGACAATATTTATTATTTTAAGAGATTAAGTTACCTGTCATGAAATCTCATCCATAGGCCAGTATAAGCCTGAAAATCTGGTGCCTTGCAGACTGTGCTGATTTAGATAACACCTAGTCAAGCATCTATGGCTACCTAGTTAATTCACAGGCACTGTTAAGATGAATTGACTCAGGCTAGCATCATTAACATAGAGGTGCCTTAAGAAGTGGAAGAGAAAAAAAATAAAACACTAACATAACTTTAACTAATTATCTAATTTCACCAGTACTACCAGTTATTACACTTCTGAATATACATGTTGTACTGAATACCTTTTAACAACTTGTTTAAGTGGCAGCAAAGCCCATCACTAACTACTATAGTCCTATACTGAATATATAAGCCTACTTCATTGTATGGTTGTATATATTGTCTAACAATAAAAATACATCCTGGTTCATGGCCAGCTGCAAAAAAAAAAAAAGCCCTGGTTCACCTCAATAAAAGGAGTGCCATGCTTCTAAATAATATGTTTTAATATTATACAGTATTTCCAAGAATATTACCTTTGAGAAGCTTAATAGTCTCTTCAGATATGGGAAAATTAGAGAAAGCGCCTTCTTTTTGTTCCACAGGTATTTCCTATCAAGTAAAGGGCCAGAGAAAGAAATCAGTAACTAACACAAGTTAATACAGAGAAGCCTTCTGAGAAAGAAACAAAAGAAGCTATTCTAAAACACTTTTTAAAACAGTTTCAAATCAACCAAAATGACATAAAAACCTTGGCAGGCAAATCGAAATATATCGTAAATAATCTATAAAAGCAAAAGAAAAATCTAGCAAATATATACTGCACATATACTATGTGTGACTAATGAAGGCAGATTCAGTCTCAACTAAGAAAACTATTCTACAACCACAACCAATAACATACTGTTGAAAAGGACCTTAGCTTTTCCACAGCAACATCTCTCATATACATGCAAAGAAAATAAAGAACAAACATTTATGAGGTAGTGGCCACTGTGGAACTATTTCATAGTAAAAAACCTGAGTGCTCAACAACAGAGTGATAATTAAATAAATTTCTAAACATTTATATGATGGATTCTGTAACCATTAAGCATTTTTAATATTTAAAGATGGGAAAAATAAAAATAATAAATAAAATAAAGATGGGAAAAATACTTAAATTTAACAACAGATTACCTCTCTACCTGAAAAGTGCTTAATATTTACTGAATGAATGAATGAATGCTGAAATTCTAGGGAGCTTTTTTTCTTTTTGGCAAATTTTTCTACATTTTCTAAGTTCTCTAGATCACATATCTTTCATAATCAGGAAATAAATTATAAATGTTGATCATGACCTACAGCAAACAGAAAATTTATGAGAATTAGAATTTTTCAGGAACACTTATTCTTATAATGTGTTGCCTGATTCTAGAATCACAATAAAGCCAATTGAGATGTTTAACTAAAAAAATAAATAAATAAGAATTATAATTTTTCTTTAATGACTGAATTTCTGAAAGGTAACAGAAATAGGTTCCATATGGACAATCATCCTGTTCAACTCAAGTTAGTTAATGGCCTAAATAAAAAGCCTTATGCAATCGAGCAAACACCTTTTCGGTGGTTCTATTTAATCTACTTGGTTAAATCCCTTGGAAGGAAGCTAAGGCCCATTTATACAATTCTCTCTCCTACTGATGTCTCACTTGCAAATAAGCAGACAAAGACTTTCCCTAAGCTTAAACAGATCTGCTTGTCTGCAGAGGCATTCTAACACAGAAATTTTTAAGATGAAGACTCACTCTCCAGCTCAAGGTACCACTCCACCCCTGAGGTTCCTGACATTCAAATTTCCTCCCTCTGTTCAATAGTATTTGCAGCAATTACCTACTTATTTATCTGAAACAAAAATGAAAAATACATTCTATCTATTTAAGTGCAACTTTACCTGCTCTATCTCACTGTTACTTTCTTCACTGGCAGCTTCACTGGAGTTACAGTCGGGTTCAGAATGAGGGAATCCATTCTTCAATTTGGGGCTTTTCTCTCCAATTTCTCCATTCACTTCCTTTTCTTTCTTCATCTTTTTGGGCTTAGGAGCATCTACTTCTTCTTCAGAAGGCTCCTCACTTTTTATTACTTTTGTTTGAGGAGAAACAACTTTCTTTTCTATGGCCTCCTTTTTCTTTTTCACACTTTTGGTTTTAGGAGAAACAATGTCACCTTGAGATGGCTCCACTTTCTTTTTTGCCATTTTGGATTTAGGAGAATTCATGTCAACTTCAGAAGGCCCTGCTTTCTTTTTAACTTTTTTAGCTTTGGGGGAAATAGTTTCTTCCTCTTCTGCTGACTCTTCAGTCTTAGATTTTGGCTTCTCTTTTCTATTTTTCTGAAAAATTAAAGGAAATACAAACATTGAACAGGGCCATCTACACATTTGTATAATTTATTATGTTGATGAAACAGTTGTTAAAACCAGACTTTCTTTTTTTTTTTTTTTTTTTTTTTTTGCTGGCCGGCCAGTACAGGGTATAAAACCAGATTTTCATAAGGAATTTGGAGTAGTTCATGGGATGCTCCAAAGGCTCTAAACTAAATACTATAGAAAGTAATCAAGTACAGTCCAAATTTAATTCTGAAAGAGTAACAAAGGCCGCATATGTCCACAGATGGATGATGTTAAGCGGATTTATTTTTTCTCCCTGTTAAAACTCCTGTACAGGTAAAACAGGAATTAATAATGTCTGTGTTTTGTCTATCTCACAAGCACAAAGGAAATTTACACAGGGACTTCATGAAACCAAAACCTATACAAATTCAAAATCTGTCATCCCATGTGTAAAAAAGATGTACTTAATTTAATGCAAAACAAAATAAATGCAGATGTTACAAGGATATGGAAGGGGTGAAACCTCAAAACCAAACCAAGCAGATGACTATGGCTACTATCTGAAATTTCTGATCCTTTTCAACTTTTCATATTACTGAAAACTATTAGCAGGTGTTGAAGCCTTAGAACCTTTCTAGCCCCAGAAGTATGGAGACTATTATTTTGAGCTGAAATCTGCTTCCCTGAAATTGAAGGCCTGACCTCTACTCTCAAATCATAGATTAAGAGTATCTCTGTCACATGATCATCCTTCAAATATGTGAAAAATAAGCCGGTCTCTTCCCCCCAGGATTCCTGTTCTTTTCGGTTCCATCAAATAAGAGTGGGTTTCCCATCCTGGGGACTGGGTGGTCCCTTTTGCAATATAATGAAATTTGGTCACGTCCCTCTTGATTTGAGCATCCCAAAATTGAACACACTGATGCAAAGTAAACCAAGACCACTACCTCCCCATCTGTGGATACAAGTCTGTGCTCTCGCGGTTTCCTACAATGCCAAAATATTGCTATTGTACGAGTTCCCATCAAAAAGACCCAGAAACAGCAGGAAAGGAAATTCTAAGTCATGTACAATGCAAGTTCTGGGACAATCTTTGTTCCCACTGACTTTATCTCAGAACAGAGACTCAGTCACAAGTTAAATCACTGCCTTAAGAAGCAACAGCAAAGAAGCGGACGGCTGTCAAGATAATTTAGGACTACTAAAAGCTGCTGGCCTATACTGCATACGTCTTTAAATCTGGTCAATAAGAGGAATTGAATTACGTCATCTTCTAAGGGCTGCTTACCGGAAAACAAACTGTACTTCTCTTCCTAGAGTAAAAAGAATGTCACTGCAGACACCGCCCACGTGAGCAGACGGATTTAAGATCTGGCTAGAATAAAGATCCAGCCCCTACTCTGACCTGATGTATTAATTCCCTTCACGCATACTCACGTCCGGAGTTAAGTCTAAGCCAACAACATGGGGCCAAACCATGAACGTCCAACTCTGCTCTCGGGTGCGGGGTGCCCAGTCGCCAGGGACACCCGGCCCTCTCTCGAGCTCCTACCAGAGATCGGGCCTCTACCAGAGATGCCGGACTCTTGGATGCGTAAAAACTGAGAGGTAGAGGTCGGTGCGCGGCAGGACCGGCTCTGACCGGCGGGTAACGCACCCACTGGCCCGGGAGATCACTACTCCTGGGCGCCCGCTTGCCGGCACCCACGCCGGGTCTCCGGACGTGGTGGTCCACGCCGGACGCCACGCGCTCCCAACCCAGACACCTCTCCCGTCCCCCGGGGCGCCGCTCCTCAGCGCCCCGGCCCCTGGTCCTGCTTTGCCCCTGGTCCCTCGGTTCACCTTCTCGTTTCGCTTTCGCGGTATCCCCCCTTGCTCCATGGCCGTGTCTGACTCTAAACTGCCGTCACTAAGGAGTTTTCCCGGCATCGTTCAGAACAAGCTGCTAGGCCGACCGGTCTCCTCAACCGCGTGGAGAGTAAGAGATAGTACGGCCCCTTAAGCCCACCCAGTTTTCGTCATTTCCTGCAGCGAAGCATTTCCGGCGGAAGAGGACAGCACAAGGAGACAGGTCCACGCAGAGGCTGCTGGTAGTGGCTGGGCTTAGTGAATTGACTGTTTACAGCGCTTGGACTAGAAAATACCTACAAAAGGGTAAGTGGAAGGAACCACAGAGGTTAGTTTTGTATTCTCATTGGAACACTGGCCAGATTCTCGCTAGCCCCAGCCTGTAAATGAAGGCTTCTAGTTGCTTTTGAGTGGAGCCTCTCCAGTGCTTTACGAGTGTATTAGGTTGCTCGAATTTGCAAGGTCCTTCCCCGTACAAATGCGCAGGGTGTTGTGTGTTCTTAATCATTTCGTGGAAACGTCAACTCTAAGTGACGGCCAAACCCGCGAGCCTGGAGAACAACCAGAATCCAGTCGGGTCCGGTCGTTCATTCTTGCATACACTCAAAAAACATCCCCTGAGCACTCACTGTGTCATACGTGAGAATCAGAACACACGAGCCTTGTCCTCAAGAAGCTTTTTAGACCGGTGGGAGAGAGACAAGTGTCCATTTTTTAAAGGCGCAGAGGAGAAGCACCAAAACCGGCCTTGGGGCCAGGAGAAGGGGTACCCAAACCACGTAGACCTCTTAGAAATTAACAAGGGCTGTTAGTCATGCATAATTTGCACAATATACTACAAGCAGTTGAAGAAAAGTAGCCGTAGAATGATCAATGACAGTATTGTTTAGCTTTTTCTGAAGAACTAGTGATCCAAAAAAATTGGGAGACAATTTATCATAGTAGTTTTAAAAAATGGGTTAGAATCACATCTGGCAGATTTGAAAATCTGCCTCTGCTACTCTTTGAGCTGTGATTTTAGACACGTTGCTTAATCTGAACCCGAGTTTCTCATGCATGAAATGGCGATAACAGAATCTACTTCATCAGTTATGATAGTGGATGAAAAGGGTTTGGCAGTGCCTGGCACATAGAGCACAATAAACTAATACTATTAGAACTCACAAGTGTGTCACAAGTGTTTGGAAAGACAATTCAAAATAATACATTTTATGACAAAGAAAAATGCTGGAACAGTTTTATTTCTATATTTCATGAATTAGATTTTACTGCACATTTTCTAATCTGAGAGTTTTTAAGGGAAAATTTTGTTTCACGTCATCTATCATTTGATATTTCACAGTCTCAATTTTTTAAACAATTTGTGTAAATGTGTAAAAATGCTTTTAACTTATACTCTGATATCCCTGAGCCAGGAGCCTTGATTTATTCATCTCTGTGTCCTCAAAATTTCAGATGGTGCCTGGCACATAGCAGTCTGTCACTAAATATTTATTGACCATTAACATAGCAATGGTGGTGGAGAATCCCTGGAAATAAATTTTAGCTATATGCCCAGGAAACTGCTTCAATCATCCTGGTATTAGGTGTGCAAGAGGGGAAAGCAAGCATGAATGCAACCAATCAATTGACCAACAAAATGCTTAGCATCTCAGATTTAAGCATTATACCCAGGATTTGGAGTACATAAGTGAAGGCCCAATCCCTGCCTCAAGGAACCTGCACACTGGTCGATAAACCACAAAACTACATGATATTGTTGTACATGATACTGCTATAGGACATGTATATTACCAACAGATGTTCAACAAGAGAGTAAGCCCAGAACACTGCTAACTGCAAAACTGCCAAATCTTATAATGTATACAAGTTCCTTTGTAATATACCTGCACATAGGCACAAACCCAAAATTTCAAGAGGAAACATGCAAAAGGCCTTTTGGCCAAAGATGGCCAAACTATTATATTGAATCTAGTCACCAGCATAAAATTCAGTAACAAGTGAAAGAAGTCACATGTATTTGATAGGAAATGTGAAGTTCTGCTTGAGTATCAATACTGCCAGACCAGTTTTCTCTGATCTAGATGATGTAATATGTTTTCTTAAAATTAAGGGGAGAATTTCTGTTTTAAAAAGTTATGTATACAGTCATGCACACACACTTTGAATTCAAAAGTCTGCACAACAAAATGTTAAGTAGTAGTTATCTCTGAGTGACGTGATTATGGGTAGTTTTTATTTTCTTCCATTTTCTCTCTTCAGATTTTCAACAGTGGACGTGTATTACTAATAAGAAAAAAAAAGGAATATGTTTTTTAAAAACTACTGTTAAGCTCTACCCCCAAAATATACAAAAAAAAAAAGCAATGTGAGAAGGCTTTCAGACATTCACACCCAAATGTGAAACCATTATTCAGACTTCTAATGCTGAAGAGAACAGATATTATTGTTTACATATTCAAAAATCAAACATCAGGGTAACTGATTCAAGTTCAAATAGGTGTTACATGACACTAGAGCACAGAGTACCAAAAGGGAGGCCAAAAGCCAAAAAGTAAAGCCATGAAGGTGCTGAGTTCTAAAAGGAAGGAGCAGAGTAAAGCTGAGTGCAGCCCGAGGCTGCATATTGGAGAGAATGGAGAGAAATTTGCCCTGCCCCCTCCTTCGAAAAGATATGGAAAGCTATTCATTAATCTTGTTAGGACCCTTGCTAATAGGAAAGGTGAACTTTACCAGGTAGAACCCTTAAATCCATCCACCCTGTTAGCATTTACCTACATGCTTAATCTTTTTCACTTTTCACTGAAACCCTTCAATTGTTCAAAACAAGGCCTACAAGGCCCTCCAAAATACAACTTGCCTTGTTCTCACCTGTGCTTTCTCCACAGTGAAGATCCCAACAAGAGCTACTAATAGTTCCCCAGCCTTAGATCATGTTTTTTATTAGCTATTCTGTGCTTTTGCCTGGATGCTCATTCCCACCTTCCTATTACTTTTACCTGACTTACTTCATGCTCAGTCATCATGTCTAAAAAGATTTCTCAGAACCCCCACTACCATTCTTGGGCCGGGTGCCCTTGTTCAGAGCTCACAAATCAGTGCACTTATTCACTGCCATGGACCTAGGTTTATGTGTTCATTGATTTCACTAGATTTTGAGTTCCTGAGTGCAGAGAGTGGGTACTCCTTATTGACCCAAAACATTGCTTGGGACATTGCAGTCACACAACATGTCCTGACTGAAAGTTGTAGTACTCATGCAACTTAGTAGGAATGGAGCCCTTATTCTATCTTGGATATAAATCTAGACCTCAAATGCAGAGCCAACTGAGATTTCACTCCCAATCATGTCTGGAACACAGTTCCCCATAATCAAAACTTCCCCCTTCCTCAATCCAGCAATGAGAGTCCTTCCTC